TGAACGTGTTTGGAGTAACAGCAAGCTGACCACTGAAACCAGAAACTGAAGTTGTGTGTTGATCATGTTGACAATGGGCCTTAAAGTTACCCCTTTAGTTTGTGGATTTGTGGTAAGCCATAGCTGTAGTTTCCCTGGGTATAATCTGTTGCATGAGGTCCAGTCAGTAGCAGCGTCCTGCTCCATCTGCTTCAGATCGTGAAGCAGATTTCCTGCTGCCACCACCTGGACCTTATTTTCAGGGCTTATTTCGGAATAATTTTCTCATCAGTCGGGTTTAATAAAACTGTACACCTACCTTTCACAAGAATTATTCTTCTCTGTTTTAGTGGTTTATTAGACAAACTCTTCACCCACTCATCCACATCCTCAGAGTGAGTCTGGCATACATTGCTCTGCCTGCAGCTGAGGTCCTGGTTTATAGTATGTTGAAGTATGTGCTGGATGAGCCTTCTCAGTGAATTCAATCACCTGTTGAAAACCTTTCTCATCAGAATCTGCATCGAATCATTGAATCCGTTCTGCTTTAGATTTAAACACATCGATTGCGTTTGTTTGTCTGCATCTGAAGCTGAAACTCGGGTAGTTCCTGTAGTCTGCCATGTCCAGTGACATTTGCTCATACTCACGTATCAGTTTTAGGCAGTTCTTACACAGGTGAGGCAAAATATCATCATGCATTCCCAACAATCCAGGTAGGGTGGCCGACCTCAGGCATGCCTTTTTCCACACCACAACAGGTGTAAACAATTGGCAATTAAGCTGTGGCAACACCCAGAGACTTGCACTGGCACTGCAAGGTGAGTAGTTTCAGAGAGATGTGGCACAGGGAAATCCCAGAACCTTACAGACAGTAGAGTTGTTAGTATGCACATCTTACGTACACCTTTCAGGACCTGGATTATTAATTATGACTATTAATATAAGTGATTACATTTCCCACTTATTTTAGGATCAATAAAGTTAAATTAACTCAAAATAAGAAGATGAGAGAATCAACGATGAGTAAAGGAGGACAAGAGCGAGGTAAAGTCAGTGAGGGAACAGGTAAATAAACAGGAATCTTTTAATGTGAGTGAAGGCTACACATATCATCCTAATTATTTCAGATTCTGTGGGTCTGCAGACTCAGACGTTTGCCCTGCTCACAAACAAACATAAGATTTATGACCACAGTTAATATAAAGAGATCATGGTCTCAGTTTGCTCTTCAGTTATCTTACTGAGTACAGCATGTGGTTCATTCTGTAATTTGTGGTCCCATTAGAGTCAATCAGAAGGAAACAACAGGGCACAGCTGCTCTGTGATTTACACCACGAGAGTTGTGTTTTCTCTTCCTCACAAACAAACAGCCTCGGTGGCTAAAGATCGACTTTTATTTACACTCTGTGCTCACAAATGACAGTCAAACAATAAAATTATGAACACCAGAGATGTTGAAATGTCAATTCTAAGATGAACATGATCACCATGTAGTTAACAGGCACTAACTAAATTTCCTAGAAGCTTTTTCAATATAATCTCGATCTTTATTAGACGCATCAATTTTATGGTTTTGTATGCCTTCATGTTCAGGAATGAGACACAGAAAAGGACAGGGTGTTATTCGGTGTCCATCTGGAGGCAGATGTGCTGATATGATACAGAAACAAGTCCCATGCAGTGACCCACAGGAGGGCACGGTCATCTAGATCAGCAGTGATATTGTAAGTCCCCTATTTATTACTGAGTCACTCCCAGGCCTGATTGGAAAGAACCGATTCAAAGCGTGACCCAAAGTGAAAACCAGAAAAGGGAGTCTGTTCATCCCAACATCCCGGACCATTTGACAAACTCACGTGAGGCCGAAGAATCGGTCGATTTGAAAATAAACTCATGTCACGATTCACGCCTTGCAGTAAAATCACTTCCTCTGCTGGAGCTTCAGTCACATTAATCACCCCATACAGACTGTGCAGTCGCCTGACAGCATCCGTTTCCCCTCAGACCGTTTCCACATGGATGAAGCCTGAGAACCAGAGAGCGCTTTGAAAACATTCTGACTGATGTGTCCGTCCTGTCTGCTTTTACAGGACAGACTGGTGTGATCCTGTTGTGCTTTAAAGGCTTGTTGTCCTTGAGCCGAGAAGCACCCGAATGGACTGCAGTCTGCTGTTTGAAAACATTAGTCTGCACACAGAGCTCAGAAAATGTGAACATTTTTATTAGACGCACAAAGCAGTGTAGATATCTCTGAGTTAGCATCTTACATTTACAGACATTTTCTTCAGTAAGTCGTTCGAAGATGCTTCGGAGATGCTTAGTGTGATTAGTGAAGAAATACTCAGATAATTTATATAAAAACTACCAGAAATGCCTGGAAAGGTGCGTTTGTGACTAATATTAATGAATAAAATAACTTTGTAAGATTTTCAACTTATATTAGTTCTGCTGGATGTTTCTTCCTGTTAAAAAGGAGTTTTTCCTTCCCACTGTCACCAAAGCACTTGTTCATAGGGGGTCTAATCATTGTTGGGCTTTTTTCTGTTTTCCTTGTATTACTGTAGGATTTTTAACTCACAATAAAAAGCACCTTGAGGCGACTTGTTGTGATTTGGTTCTATATAAATAAAATTGAACTGAATTACATCTGTATTATACACATTTTTAAATTAAAACTAAACTCTAATGCTGTTTGTTAATTGATGATTAATTGAATTAAAGTACAAATCTCTGACATCCTGCACACAACACGTAGGGTTATCAAACTACAGCTTCACACATGTGACATGCTGATGACCGACTCACATTTTCCTTCGGGGACACTTAGACTTTCCTTCTAGCACCACACAGACACACCCACACACATAAACACACTCCTCCTCCGCTGACTTTCTCTGACGTTCACAAACACACGTCGCATGAACCGCCCGCGCAGCAGAAACTGAACAGGTGAGATCTCTCAGGCGTTTGGCCGCTTCAGCTGGACTCTCTCTGACATCCGCCTGGCGCTGTACAGAGACACTCCCATCCCCACCGCGGCCATCGTCATGGCGATAGGATCGATGAGGCTGCTCTGCGGCTGAATCTGGACCTCACCCGACATCTGCCTCTGTGGACGAGGTGGACACACAGGTGAAGAAAGGCTGTTAAAATATTCTTATTCCTCACTGAGTGTTTTCCTTTCAGTCACCTAGGGGCTGCTATAGTGAGACACTAATGACGTTTCAGTGAATGCTCCACTTGGGTAATAATTCATCTGGCTGATGGCAGCTTTAAATGTTCACGCTGTCCAATAAAGTTAAATTCAATAAAACAAAGGAAAAGTCCCCAGAAGGTGCTTTAACTTCCACACCTTAAATGAGACTGATAACTGGGACGAAATATGTGATGCTTACATCATATATAACTTCTCTGGTTGGGTTTAGGAAAGGTCGTGGTTTGGGGTAAAATTAACCCTTTTACCACTGATGATGATGATGAGTTGGAAGTGACAGATTCATCTCATCAATGTGTGTCAGGGCACAAATGCTTGCTTTGACAAAACAGCACTAATAACGGTAATAAAATAAAGAACACAAATGAATCCTGATCCCTTTATTTTCCTGGTAACATTTCACTAATGTAAAAATAACCAACACAAATGACCAAATCGTGATATCGAATCAGTCCTCACACACCCTCCTTAACCGACTCCATCTCCCCGTGGACCATTTATTATTAATAAATATCCTCTAACTGGGTCTTAGTTTGTTTCTTTACATTGTTATTCTGTATTTCTTTAGTCTTTTCAGTCTTGAGGTCTTTGTTTGAGTTACTGTATATATCAGAGTTTATTAGTTTGCTCAGATTTTTTTCCCCATGTTAATTTTACATTTGTGTTCAATATTTGGTTATGATTGCTCACTTCCTGTTCTACTTTATAAGTCATCTTCCGTGACTCATCAGTTTTACGTCCTCCCCTGTGACTGTGCTGATTGTCTGCACCTACTTCTTGTTTTTCACTGCTGTGTTCACATCCCCGATTGCATTTCTGTGTATACACAGCGCCGTCTCACCCCTCAGTCCTTTGCCTTACTGTCTCTTCTGCATGTCTTCAGTTTTCCATTTTTTTATTTTCAGAGTGGATTAATAAAGTAACAAGTTTTAAACCCTTTCCAACTTCACTACAGTAGCAAACATCATAACCTGTCATCTGTGCATCTGTTGGACACGCCCAGGAGTCCGCATAACTCCACCCTTTAGGCGTGACAGACCTACCTCCTTACCACCAGACACAACCTGCTTCACTGCAGTATTTTTTCAACTACTTTAATATAGCTTAAATTAACAGTATATGAAGGAATTAAATTAGACACAAAAAGTGTGATTTAATCGCCCGATGGGCCAATGGAGGGAAAAAGTTTTCCTGAACCACTGATGTGTCTTTGATCTGTGAGCGATTAAAGATCAAATTGATATAAAGTAAAGGCTAAAGAAGAAGTCACTCATTTTTTATGTAGGTAAACGTTAAATCTACTCACCTACCTCACCACCATTTTTGGTACTTTTGAGAACTGAGCAGGACGACAGCATCAGTTATTTTTCTGTTGCTGGAGTCTGAACAGCTTATATAACATAAACCCTCCTGAGATGGAGCTTTCTGAACATCCTGCCCACTG